TTTTTTTTTTTTTTTTTTTTTTTTTTTTTTAACCAGGGATCGAACTCAGGACCTTGCACTTGCCAGGCAGGCGGTGGCGCCACTGAGCTAATTCCCCGGCCCCCTCTCTGCCATTTCGAACTCATAGCCCAAGTGTGTATCCATTTCAGTCCTATAGTCAGAGAATCATAGAATCTGTCTTTGTTTTCCATTTTCTCTTTCCATTTTGACATCAATGAGATTGTTCAGGTGATTTTTCAACTCAGTGCACACTAGGTCTGTGGATTATCACTACTCTAAAAGAGAGAACATACATATTTATTGGGAAAAAAGTTATCTTGGATCTAATTCTTGTGAATAAATTGATTCTGAAGTATAAATAAACTGGTGAACACCCGAGTACTGAGTGGAAGGGAAAGACCCCAAGGATTAGGAGTTTTTCCTTGGTCTTACTGATTTTTTCAGATTATTTATATTTTCTCAGACTTCTTAACAGTTTTGGTGCAAAATTTTATATGTATACCACTTCACACTATATAAGATGACGATATAAAAAGACAATAGCAAGTATCATCCAGAAAGAATGTGGGAAAATTGGAACTATTGTGTATTGCTGGTGGGATTGTGAAATGATACAGCCCCTTTGTAAGAGGCTTTGATCCTCAAAGAGATGAAACATTGTGAACCGGATGACTTAACCATTCCACTTCTAGGGATATGCCTTACAAAACTGCAAACACAAGTCTACCCAAATACAGCAAAGCATTATTTGCAGCAGGCAAAAAGCAAAACCAACCCGAAGTCCGTCAGTAGATGACTGGAGAAATATAACATTAAATATGCATACAATGGAATACTGTTCAACCATAAAGATGGAATGAAGTACTGATTCATGCTATAGCATGGGTGAAACTTGAAAGCCATATGCTTAGTAAAAGAAGCCAGGTACAAAACGTCACATAAAGTTTTATTTATATGAAATGCCCCAAGAGGCAAACCCATGGTCACAGCAGTAGTTGAGTGGTAGTTGCAAGGGGCAGAAGAGGGAAGAAGGAGAGTAACTGATAATGGATACGGGATTTCTTCTGTGGGGGATAGAAACCTGGAGTTACACAGGGATGATGGTTGTTTAATCTGGTACATTTTTAGAGGGTGTATTTCATGGTATATGAGTTTTATCCAAAAGCAATTAAAAATTATAAGAATCTGCACAGAGATAAATATAAACACAAACACATTTATTGTCCAATTGTGTCGTGCATGTCAACAATAAGTCTGACAGAAGCTTAAATAAATACACACTTAAACTTGCAAAAGAGTTTACATCATAATTTAAAATAGTATAAAATACTCAAACTCAGACCACACTTACATTTCCTGTAGTTATTTCTAATGTAATGTATATAAGTATTTACATTTGAGAGATTTCAGAGAAAATAATAATTCATTCCATATAGAATTTGAGCACGTTAGTTTCCCCCACACCCTCAATCTTCTGCCTCTTAAAAAAAAAAACAAAACTCTGTTGTTCCCATCCTTATCCCACCTCCCTGTTTTCTGTTAGCTTTATCATTGCCATTATCCATCCGGCACTTTCTGAAACTTTTCCAACGTGCTAAGTTCATGGAAGTTGGAGACAGCTGTGACGTGGGCAGCTTTGGCGCTTACTAAGAATTCTCACTACCCCTGATAACTGGAAATTCCCTAGGAATTTTAAGCTCTGCTTATAAATAAACATAGCTTTCCCCTCTTTCAGAGCATCAGAACTTACAGAGTGAAACTATGAGGGAATGGTTATTAGACATCTTCACTTTTTGAAAATGCACTAGATGGAAGCTTTAAATAGTGAGTTCTTATCATGGATTTAAAATCTTATGTAATATACAAGAATTACTTGCCTGATAGTACCATGTTTTAAAAATAACTGTGGTAAAACACTCAGAGTTTCACACTGGTGAACATTTGTTCCCTCTTGAAATAAATTTACTGAAGATGTAACATTAAATGTTTTTAGTAAACAAAGAGGTGTTAATCTAGGATAAGTAACTTTTACCTATCATAGTCCTTAGTACTGAATTAAGAGCTATAGAAGATTATGCTATATTCAGTGACAGTAAGAAGAACACAGTCTCTAAGAACATCTTTAAAAAGCACTGAATCCCATAGGGATGAACAACACTGTGCTTAGTAGCCCTCACACAAAATTTCATGTAGGGTTTGCACTGTTTCCTAATAACATCTGTTCTATGCATTCACTATTGGGCATTAAAGGTTTGGGAGTTCTTAAAAGTAAGAGATAAAATATGTTTGGCCAATTTCTTCCCCTGGACTCCAGATAATTCCTCTTTATCCCTTGGCAGTAACTATCTAATTAACAGTTGAAACATAGCGAAGGACAAAAGAAATAAACAAAACCAAAAAATATTCATTATCCACCAAGGCTTCAGAGGGAGGAAAGAGACACGAAAGGAATTCTGAGATTCTAGAGCCTTGGCCTCTCCATTTTTGCTTTGAAGAGAATGCCATTTTGTGATCTCAAGAACAGCAAAGAGAAATATTGAATCCTTTGGACAGAAGATCAGTCTTTCTACAGAGTTTTGATCCATTGAAGTCGTGGTCCCAGCTACAGAAGTGGCAGGTGTGATAGTCAGGAAAGGCCAAGGACCTGGACAGCTCGGTCTCTGTTGTTTTCAGTGCCTAGTTCCCAGGACGCACCTGTGTTCCTGCAAGTATAAGCAAGTGTGTGTTATCAGAAACTTCTGCAGACTGGTGGTGACCACAAAATTGCGCTTACTGCCACAGACTACTGGGCATACTCTCACAGGAGTAGTGTAAACATCCATGCCAAAGGCCATCCAGTTAGGACAGAGAAACTATTCTTTCAGACTCTGTGATGGTGAATGTCAATCGTTACACACCTGTTAAAGTCCTACAGAACATACAACACAAATAGGAAGAGCTCTACATTACCTAGGAATTTTGTTTAATGTGTCTCTGTCAGACCATCAGTTGCAACAAATGCACAGTGGTAATGCATGATCTCAGTAACAGGGAAATTGGAAGTGGAAGGGTGAGGAGGTATGTTGGAACCCTACACTCGGTTCCATTTTCCTGCAAACCTAGTATTGCGCAAAAGAGGTCTATTAACTTAAAAAGGTATGCAGAGGGACTTAGCCACCCCAGATCCTCATAAACCAGAGCAGATGTTTGAGCACACAGATTCTAGAGCCAGATGGTCTGGGTTTGAATTCTGGCAGCACCACTGAGTAACACTGAGATTTCAGGCAACTTACTTAACTTCCCCGTGCCTCCTGTCCTTCACCTGAGAGATAGGAAATAGATTGTGTGCCCCTGTGTAATGGAGGTCCTGGCTTAGAACGCTGCCTGGGACACACTCAGGGCTGTGTGAGAGCCTGCTAGCATCGTCATTATTATCTTTCAGTCATGAAATGATTCAGGAGCACCAGGGCTCTGTTTCCTCCCTCTCTGTCTACGAAGAAATGAAAGAACTTTCCAGGCAATTGTATGAAGATAATGATTCCCCCTAGAAAAATGACAAGTTTGGGGATTTAAAGAGAAACAGACTTAGAGAAAATGGTCTCTGCCGTTAGTGTGTCATCTTTCACTTTTACCTGTTTCTCTTGAACTCAAAGGACGTCAGAAGGGATCTGGTGGTTTCCATATGATTCAAGGCTTTGGCAGCTACTGTTGGAAGAGTGGGAACACTAAATAAAGCACTGTTTTCCAACACAAAGAAGAGACAGCTATGTAGATAGTAGCATGCTTTGTGCAAGGATGGAACTTACCTGGAAGGAACATATTTCTTTACTGCAAGAGAAAGGAAACCAATTAACTTAGATGAAATGACTTTTAAGGACATAGCAACTCCAGACACACTCTGTAAGGGCCAAACTTGAGTGTGGACAGATATGCTTGCATATTCTGTAAGAGAAATTCCTAAAATTTGAAACTGTGTTCTAAATAACCCTTTCTAGAACACATTTTGTTTGTTTCCCAGGAAGCACTAATTATGGCAGTCTCATTGCACAGCTCCAGGGGGACCACAGAACCCACTGCAGGTAGCACCTTCTAGAGTTGTGCAGTTAGTTCAACTAACATTAATATTTCTTAAACCTCCTCCTGATTCTAGCTGCACGCTGAACTTTTTTTGTAAGGTTTTTGCTTAATTACATGGTAGTTTATTAGTGTTTATCCAATGACTAGATTTTAGTTATTTTATTATTATTTAAATTTGCAAGAAAGACCCTGATGACTCATCAATGAGAAAAACTACATATTTTCAAAATGGTTTCTGAAGTACTTCATAAACCTCCTTACCTTTCTTCCGAAAGTTTTTCAAAAGCCAGAAGAGAAATGATGTCAGAGTCAGGAGGGAGGTCCCTGCAGCAGAAAGCCCAACTGCCAAGGGAGTGTTGGACACCATGGGAGCTAAGGAAACAAGACAGGGAGGACCGTCATGAGTCGTAACGGGTGTTCTGTTCTGTCCATGTGGCCTTTTCTTCATGTATTGATTACTAGGAGCAAAAGAGCCATCTACAGAAATGCATGAGGCAGACACCGTGGCCTTAAAGACCTCTTAGATCTGTACCACGTCATCTTTGGGGCTGGCACCTACCTCCCCAGGGAGAGCTCCAACTTGCCAACCTCACATAGTGCCACACAGTACCTCAGATAATACTGAATCTGTCTCCGGATCTCCTTTTTCCAAATGTCAAAATCCTGTCCATACTATCATTATGCTACTTCTGTTTCCTCTCAGCCCCGTCCCCCAACTGCACGTTGACCAGCTTGTTAACCTGGGCAACTTTCTGATTTGCATATAATGGGTGGTTAATCATGGCAGCAAGACAGCTCCCCTTATTCTCCTTAGTCCCCCAGACAGCCACCATCCATCCGCGCATCACCTTCACAGGTAGGTGGCAGCTCAGACCACTGTCCTGTGGCAGCACATGTCAGAGCTGCGGAGCCATTGAGGGTCCACCCTTCAGGACATGCAAACTTGCACACAGTGCCAAACACAGGCTCCCCGCGGCAGCTCATGTTGATCTTTCCTGGAACTTCCAGCCTTGAACACTGCACCACTACAAATAATAACATATAGGCAGAAGTCAGGAAATATCAACCGGAAGACTTCTATATCTGGTTTAAAAGCCACCAGCAACTGTAATTCATAAGCACTGCTTAGTATTCAGCTTGTAGGAAATTAGGATTAAGCACAGTGAACAGCTCAGGTTCAGTAATTTACGAGGTATTTAACCCATACCCCAAGCACAAAGTCCCGAGTTTGATCCCCAGTACCAAAAAAAAACCAAAAGAAAAAAGCAGAAAGAAAGAAAGAAAGAAAGAAAGAAAGAAAGAAAGAAAGAAAGAAAGAAAGAAAGTAAGTTTAACCCTGCCCTAAAAGTTTGAACTCAGTAGTGCCTCGACAGGAGGGGACTTCCTGTGTCCATTGTCCTTGAGAGGTGCACTCAAGTTGAGTCGATCCATGTAAGTCAAAGCCTTCCTTACAGTGGAAGGCACAAGAGGACTTGTAGATGAATTTTCCAGTAGAGTGTTGAGTATATTTCATCACACTATTCAGGGGCTGATGAGGAACATCACAGGTCACAGCTAGAAGACCCAAGAGAGTTCCTCAGAGGCTTTTCTGCACCAAGTAACAGCAAGCCTCTCAAGGTGAGCAAGTCCCTCAGCACCTCAGTGGCTTTTGTTTTATTTGTTTTATTTGTTTTTTTGTTTTTTTATTTTTTTCCTCATTGAGTTTATTGGTACATTTTAGGTATACAGTACAGTTACATTCATCATTGGGATCTTGTACCTTTACATGACAGGTCTTGGTTCTCATTTTTTCCCCTTGTCTCTGCCCTCCCTTCACCCCCTCTTAACAGTTTTATTTACTTATTTATTTATTTTGGTTGTTAAATTTTTATTGAGTTTATTGGTACAATTGTGGCTTTTATTTTAAATAAAGCAAGAACAGTGACTGTACCTTCACATGTGGGCATCTCACGGTCCCACTCCCCTGTGGGGCCACACTGGAGCCTCCTGGGTCCTTGTAACAGGAATCCCTGCTCACAGGAGAACTCACAGCTGGACCCGCTTCGCAGACCTCCCAAAGCACTAGGAAGACAATTCATGTAGCCTTGCTCCGGTCTCGATAAAGGTTTGCACTGGAAAGCTAAAACAGCAAAGTGATGGTCAGGAAAAAGCCCAGTAGAACTGGAGACTAGCTTTTGATGGCACAGTTGATTTGAGACACAGCAACATTCACAGAACTCAAAATGACTCTTTAATATTCCCTGGAAGGCTGGGAAGAAGGCAGTGTTTTCTTTGAATTCCATGCCCTTCATTGACAATGGCACCTATGAAAGGACAGCCTTTAACAGGAATATTGGTTCCTGGACACTGCTTTTCTGATATGCAAAAAAAGGCTGGGCCAAGGGAAAGATTTCATGCAGTCAGAGAACAATTTAAGGTTCCTGGATGCTTATAGATATAACCAAAAAGAAAGGAGAAGCCGGGCGTGGTGGTGCCTGCCTGCAATTCCAGCACTTGGGAAGCTGAGACAGGAGGATCGCTGTGAGTTCAAGACCAGCCTGGGCTACATAGTGAGTTCCAGGTCTGTCTCAACTACATAGTGAGACCCTGTCTCCAAAACAAAACAAAAAAAAAGGAGAAGACATCCATACAAAATGTGTTTGCCTGTTTTCTTTGTTTTCTTATTGAGGCTTTCTGCCATGGGAAGTTATTCTGTGTTTTATTTGGCTGTGAGAATGCCAGCACCTGATATGAAAACCTGCTTGTTTTTAATATCCTTGCTCTTACTTTGGAGTGAATTAAATTTTGGTACTTAAATATGTATCAAGAATATCTCTGTAGCTAAAGCCAACCTGAGACTTTCTCATCACTGCTAGTTAGGAGAAACTTCAGAAGAAAAGTACCATAAGAATTTGAGACTCAGGGCAGATTCTCTCTCCTTTTTTTTTTTTTTTTTTTTTTAGCTTAAAAAGATACTCACTGGGAGCAATATAGAAATTACTCAATAGCAATAAGCAGTTGCCACTGATGGGTGAGTAGTGAATCTGCTATATATATTTCCAGGTGAAATTATTTTGGTAAGGTTCCAAATTTTCATAAATCACTTCTTCATTTGTTGAAACAGCTTAAGAAGTCCTTCTTTTTCTGCCTTTTTTTTTTTTTTTTTGTACTGGGGATCAAACTTGGAACCTTGCACTTGCGAGGCAGGTGGTAGAACCACTGAGCTAAATTCCTGGTCCTGTACTTAAAACTTTTCTAATATGATTTCTTTTAGATTAAGATTTTTGCCTACTCCATGCCAGTGTCTGTAACATTATATTAACAGAGCATAGTTAAGAAACCAGTGAAGGATTTGCTCTTGTTTCATAGTCTTTTTCCTGGCCAAGCACTGGTTCTTTATATGAATCTCAAAGACTTGAGGTGAATGCTGCCCATCAAATCTCATATGTATAATTAAAGTGAAATTCTGCTCTCATTTGCACTGCCCAAGGGCGAGAGCTGCTGCTTTTCCAAAATGGAACACATACAGAACCAGAACCTCACCTTCACGCACCGGAGTTTGCTGTGTTCACTGCCCTTGAGCTGTGCATTCGATCTGCGGCAGCCCCTGCAGCATGAAGCCCTCCTTGCAGGTAAAGTTGCAGGATAACTTGAAGACAAACTCTCCAGCAGAAGAGGGGCTGCAGGGCTGGGGATTTAGCTCAGTGGTTCTGCCACCTGCCTCACAAGTGCAAGGTCCTGAGCTTGATCCCGGTTCCAAAAAATAAATGACTTTTTGGGCCAGGGATTTAACTCAGTGGTTCTGCTGCTGCTGCCTTGCAAGCACAAGGACCTGAGTTTGATTCCGGTACCAAAAAAAAAAACAAAACAAAACAAAAAAAAAACAAAGAAGAGGGGCTGCAGCTAATAGAGCCATTCCAAGGCGGGTGGATGGCATCGCAGGTCAGGGCTGTAACACAGGTATCAGTGTGTTCATCAGCGAGTCTGGCTTGCCCATTTCAAGTGTGGTTTAAGAAGGAGAAGGTTTGCAGTATCTGAAGGTAGAACAACTCTACCTTTACAGGTTGGCTTCTCGTTGTCCCAGGTCCCAGAGGAGGTACATTGCAGGGTTTGGGCTCCTATGAGTTCAAATCCTTCCTCACAGTGGAACGCACAGGTTGTGTTCCATGGAAATCTCTCAGGGCTTTGGAAACAATCCATGCTCCCGTTGGCAGGTTTTGTCAAAGCATCACACTCAACCACTGTGGACATAAAAAGGCACCATTAATTTTACAGAAGAATACTGTTTTTGCTTCTTATTGAGTTGTATTTATAAAACAATGAGAAAGCTGCCTTCAAATGGTAGATTCAGAATACCTACATCCATTTTAGGGGATACATGTAGGGGAATTGGCTAGGAACGAACAGTTAAACTGTGGGGCAAAAGTACACAAATAATCAAACTGTGGGGCAAAAACCACACAGGCTCTGTGAGGAGTGAATGGTTCCACTACAGGGCAAAAGCACACAGGCTGTATGAGAATTAAACAGTTAAAGAACAAGAAGTGTGGGTTAGTGAAGCATGTTATGTCTGGCCTTGTCCTTCCCTGATCCCCAAGAAAAACTACCTACTCTTGAGAAAAGCTCCTTGCCCAAACTGCTTTTCTCCTGCTTTTTTCTCTTACACTGATATTCTAAATAAAAGCCAGAGAGTTCTGAGTTTCGGGGCTCTTCTTCTCCAGAGTCCCTTCATGGCTGGGCCTCCCTGGCCTCTCCATGACTGAACTAAGTCTTGCCTAAAAGTTACCATTTTCATCCTCGATGCTGCCTGTGGTTGCTCACTGCAACAGGTATAAAAACCCATGTTTTTTGATCTTTCTATCTTCTCTGATTAATTTTACTTTGACTACAGTCTCTGACCTATTTTATCATTTACACAGTGCAAAAATGAAGAACAAACAGATTCTAGAACAGGATTTATGACTAATTGGGGTGAAAACAATATTGACATAAATGGGACATTATTTTAACCCAGTGTGACCTAAAGGAAGAAAGTAAGATTGAGAGAGAAAAAGAGATATTGAGACTCCTTGATTATGATGTTCTTAAGTTAGCCTGCTGCGTGGGCAAGTTAACAGGAAAAGATGAGAAAGTCATCAAGACATGTCTAGTGTGGCTCCAGGCCTTCAAGATGATCTCCCTCGCCACTTACCAGAGCTTCAGAATACCCATTTCAAACGTAAATTAAAAGTGACCCTCAAACCAAGCAGGTAATGGATTGCCCACAAAGACACATGTTTTACTAAAAGTAATAACAAAAAAGAATTTTCACTGGGGGTTGGACAGTGTTGTCAGCTGGATAGAAAGCACAGGACTGAGGGGTGAGTTAGAGAATGTCCCGTGCCTACCGAGAGACTCACCCTCGCAGGCTGGCTCGGGAGCACTCCACCCCCCAGAGGACATGCACTGCGCCGTCTGCTTGCTGGTTGGCTGGTAGCCCCTTTCACAGATCACAGAGCAGGAGGAGTTGTAGCTGAAGGACCCAAAGGGTTCAGTGCAATCCAGGCTTCCATGTCTGGGCTCTTCCCATGCTGTACATGTTACAACTGAAAAATTGCAAATCAGGTCTGCTGTCTCACCTTGTAACTACTGCTTGCTGAGTGTTTCCTGTGTGCTATCATTGTGCACCCATAAGCCTGTGATGTGATATCATGATCTTCATCTTACTGTGGGTCACATAACTACTGTTATGGGCTGCATGAGGACATTTCCATCCATGACAGCCTGTAGGTGTGACCATGGTCCCATAAGACCACCATGCCAGATGTCATATGTAACAAGCGGTGAGTCTGAGATTGGGTCCAACTTCCCAGCCTCAGCTCTTACCCACCACGTGACATCATATGATCTAGGATAAGGATGACATGTGGACCTGACTCCCAAGCCAGCTGGGACAAGAGAGGATGCTGCCCTTTCAGGTGAAGGAAGAGGTGAGAACCAGACTCACCTTGCTCACACCTGAGTCCATGGAACCCTGGGAAGCACTTGCAGTTGTAGTTTTCAATGGTCTCTATACATTCACCATGGCCACTGCAGGATTTATTGGTACAGGCAGCTGCAGAGATCACATTCCTGATGAGCATCGTTGTCACTGTGTTTATCACATGTCCCTCTGAATTTAAGACCAGAAGTGTACAGAGGCATCGCTAAATACTCAGAGTGCCTGCGATTTTACTGAAGGCGTTTCAGGTTTGTCTAGTTTATACCTTGATGTTAATATATGGAATGAAGAATATAGCGGACACCAAGCACAGAGAATTCATTTTATCACCAACCCTAAAACTGTTCCTCTATCACAAATAAATAAGTAGTCAACTATGTACTGTATTGTGTCTATGCGTTCCCCGTATGGATAGAACTACATGTAGGCGTAGGTACCTACATTCTTATCTACATTTACCCATGTGAAGAGATATTTTAGCAGTTGCACAGAGAGAATGTTTTATAGTCATATCTTTTGGAGTATGAAATCACAGCAATAGAGATCAACTTTTGCATACTGTGAATTTGTCAAGGTGGCCACCCGGCAAAACCGCCTCCCAGCACTGCCTCAAACCTCCTACCTGTGTAGCACAAAGCGAGCTTCTTCTTGCTGCATGGCTCATCATTCCACATGCCTGGGTCCTTTTCCCTCTTGATGTAGATCTCCACACAGTCCTCATCGCGTTGCTTATTGTTTGGCTCACCTGGAGCCCAGTTCTTGGCTTCTTCGGTCAGAGGCTTCTGGGTCCCTTCCCAGACCCACACATTATTGACTTTTCTGATTCCGATCCAGTAATAGCTTTTTGAGTAGCTCATTCTGGAGTTCAAGTACTCGATTTCTTCTTTGTTTTGAATTGCGACCAGATGTGTGTACTTTTGCTGGCAGTAAGCCCTGGCCTCCTCATACGTCATGGTTTCCCTAGAGGCATTGTAAGACCAAGCTCTGCTCCCTCGAATGAGAAGCACTGGGGAACAGGGAAGGAATGGTAGCGTTTAGTCCTGCTATAGTTTTGCTCTATTAACTGTGCTCAGAATTGTCTTAGTTTTGCCACTTGCGATCTTGGGAATGACCCCAAGTGTTTTCATTTTTTAAAAAGTAATCAGAGGAATGTATGAAGAAACTAGCATTTGTTGTATACTACCTTTGTGACCGGACATCTGCTAGATGCTTTCTCCCACTCGCCCACCGCAGCCTAATTACATATCCACTTTACAGAAGAATAATAAGCAGATAATCAGGATAACAAAGCTTTACTAGCACTGAATACTATAGGAAGCACTTTCCATGAACCACAATACTGAATTCTCACAATATCTAAATAGGTCACTTATATCAACACTTTACACGCGAACAAACTACAACACTAAGAGACAAAGTAAATTGCTCATAATCCAAGTATATTGCCTTGGTATATGGGGGAGGCAGCTAACCACCCTGCAATGCGAGGTTCACCTCACAAGAGGAAGGACATTCTGGTCCTCAATGGCAATAGTGCAAAACCGAGAGATCTTGTTCTGTCTAATGACACTGACTTACCAAAAGTGAGAGCAGAGAGAAACCACGGAGCAACCATGACTTCAAGAATTCTTTTCACTGAAGACTTAAACTTGAAATATTTTTCTGGAAAGAGAAGGTATAAAATTAATAATAATATAATAGAAGAAAATTTGAGGCAGCGTGTTACATTATTCTACTGTGATTTTGAGCCAGCATAATAAGATTTGAGCAGAAGGACTCCAATGGCACAATCTGTATTTCAAAGACTTTTACCAGAATGAATAAAAAAAAATAGCATTTTCATCATTTAGGTCAAACAGAAGAGATGGGTTTTTTAACTCTAACACAATAAAAGCTTTTGCATATCTTCTATCGCAAGGCTTTTTGCATATCTATTCATAGTGATGAACATGTTTCATAGCCAAGGCTGCCCTTGTCAAAAATTCTCCACTTACTCTTCTGCAAAGTGGATGTTTGGGCGTTGGCTTTCTCAGGTGTCCAGCTGCTCCTGCCGTGTGCTGTTGCTGCAGTCCTGGTGTAAAGTCAGCCATGAGCCCGTGAGCATTGCTTCTGCAGAGCCCCTTTAAAGAGGGCTCGCTTCCTGTGAGTAACAACAGGGTGTTGTCCAAATCCAGTGAAGAGGAAACTCTCAGCTGCATCAGAAAGTTTCCTGTGAAAGTCCAAAGTGCTAAAAAGTAAGCAGTGATTTCAGAAACCATCCTTCAAAATTAATTTCCCCTCATCCAGGTCTTTATGTTTCATGTGCAGTTTCACTGATTAATGCGAGTGCATCATTTTTCATTCTAATAACAACTGTTCTTAAAATGTTTAAGACCTTGCTTATCAGCAGTATTGCTCATGGAATTGTGGTGGCAGAGTTTCATAAACAAACAACTTAAGAATATTTTGACATCCATGGTTTGCCATCTCAAGTTTTTTCATCCACAGCTATCAATAATAGATCAACGCTGGCTTTTTCTTTCTCTTTTTCCTACCAACTAACTTTTCAAATGCACTATTGCATAGGGTGAATGAATCACAAGGAAGAGGAGGATTCCCAGATTCTACACACTACAGCTACGTTAATATTTAAATTAATATCTAAATTAAATTTAATATTAGACAAAGATAATATCTTCCACTTGAATATTTGAAATAATGCCTTGCCTCTTAAAAATAAGAAACAAGGAGAATAGATTTAAATATTCATGGATAGAAAATATTCCTGTTTTGCTCAGTGAAAAATAAAGATTAAAAATTACATGTACTCATACTCAGTTGACAAAAAATTTTTAAAAACTTTAATAATGCTAATACGCAAAGAATTAAAATGTTGGGCCAGAGATTTAGCTCAGTGGTTCTGCCGCCTGCCTCGCAAGTGCCAGGACCTGAGTTCGATCCCTGGTACCAAAAACAAAAGAAAAAAAGAATAAAAATATTAACAGTGGCTACCTCCAGATGTCAGGATTTGAAGTAATTTTTACTTTCTTTATTATTATTTTCAACATTTTCCAATTTTTGGAATGGCCCCTTTCCTTTTACAATGCAATGAATACAGTTTAAAAGAAACTTGTGTCCAAATGCAACTGAAAGAAATAGCTTACAACTCTTACAGGATATCTTACAGGCCTGTACTTTGCAATGAAATTTTTTTTGGGTGCCTGTACGCCCATTCTTGACCTTTGCCTCTTGTCTAATTTAACCAGTAGGATTGGTAAATGGGATCATTTTCCTTTCCATATTCTATAGATTTTCAGAATCTAGTTAATATCGATGATCCCATGTTTTTTACAGGTGTGAAGGACAGCAGGCAGGAGGGAATGGTGTGAAAGGGCTTATTTTTGTGGTTACTTGTTAAACTGCCTGGTTCCATGATTAAAAGGGTATCGAGACAAACGAGAGAAGAGAAGAAAAATTCCAATATATGCAACTGATTTGGGGGGGGGCACCGGGGATCTACAACTGATTTTTGAACAAATAATTGACTAATTAACTTTAACCTCTACCAAAAATCCCAGCTATTTACAGAGGATTTATAGCTTCCATTCCCGTGACATTTTGCAGATACTGATGTAATTTCAATTCTTTATCCCACTTTTCTGAGCAACTTATTGTTGCTCAGTAATTGCAGAAGCCTAATCGTTCACACGCTGTTATTTTTAGATTTTAAGGAAGGATGTGAAGCTCGGTTTGTACGTAGCATGTATATTGTATTTCTAATAAAATATGAATACATGATCTGCTATTTTTTTTAAAGGGGATCGAACTCGAAACCTTGTGCTTGTGAGACAGGCAGCGGAACCACTGAGCTAAATGCCTGGCTCCTTTTTTTTGTTTAAAATTTTTTTTTGAGGGAGTTACTGGAGATTGAACTCAGGACCTTGTGCTTGGGAGGCAGGCAGTAGAACCACTGAGCTAAATCCCCGGCCCCTTAGTCAAATCTTAAGACAAAACTTATCTGCTATATTAGGAAAATGTGTCAATAATTATTTTATTTTGTAAATAGAAATAAGTTGTGAACAGCCAAAGATAATACATTTTTATTATGGATTTTTTATAACAGGTTTATAATTTATCTCTTCCCCTTTTTTCATTCAAAGGTATATAAAAACAACCATAGTGGTGATAAAGTCCCAAATATATGCCTTGAACCCCTAATTCTAATCTCTAGTATCTATTGAGCGCTTGTTATGTGCCAGGTCCTATTTTGCATATTTTGCATGTTCATCTCTATAATTATTTAATCATCATAATGATCTGTGAATAGGTACTTTTATTACACATGTTTTACAGATTTTACTTTAAGGAGCAAGAGATTTTTCATCTATCTCATCCAACAGCACAGAACTAAGAGGCTGAAACCCAGGGCCCGACACCTTAACTGCTACCCAGGTCATGCCCTCTTTCCGTTTTCTGTCCTGCATTGAGGCTCCCTGATCTGCCTCACTCTTCGTTCCTCCTGTGCCCCCTCTTTCCCCAGACCTCCCCGACCCTTGCAGCCCTCCCTGAGCGGGCTGTGTCCTGTCCTCAAGGGCAGGGAGGGCAGCGGGAGGAGCAGTAGGGAGAAGATGCAGTGAAAACTGACCCAGGGTCCCTACAAATAGGGAGAAAGTGGACAAGTTGAAAACAAGCCAGGCAGGAGACCTCGGCCTGGGGGGAATCAGTGACCCTGAGAAGCATTTCCCAGAAGCTCCTCGCTCAAAGCACGTTCTCTCTAAGGCAAAAGGGCAGAATGATTGTTCTAAACTTATACCGAGAAAGCTCCAGGAAGAGAACTCAGTCCTGGGAGAAGAGATAAGAGAAAGGAGAGGAGGAGATTGTGAGCGAAGATACCAGAAAGGTGATGGTGATGAAGATAGATGGATAGAGAGACAGATACACAGACAGACAGTTTAAGCCGAGATTACGTTCCTCCACATCCACATTCACCCTAACAATTAGCTCTGTGTCCTCCCAGAATGCTTTCTTTGCCCCTCCCCTCGGTTGAACTATGGACTGGCAGAAGCAACTTGGGAAATGATGGGCTTTCCTGGGCTCTGCATGCAGGGCAGAGGAAGAGACCGTAGGCTGATCTTCCCTGAGAGACACCCAGGACAGGGAGGGACAGGAGTGGGACTTCAGCTGACCCTGGAGCATCTCCACCTGCTTGGCGTCAGCAGATCTGATGAGGCGGATCACTCCCTTGTTGGGTGGTGGGGTAGACAGTGAACTGAAAGAGAAATTGGATGAAATGTCAGTAGTTGGAAACGTTGAACATTATCCACCCTTCCACGCAAGTATTTCAAAATTTCCCCCCAAATCAGGCTCATGATAGATCAGGCTGAAGCCTCCACTGAGTCTCACGAGCTTCGGAGATGTAGACAACAGTTCCGGAACTGCTCAGGAATTTTCCACCTGGCCGCCCACGGAGCCTCCTGGAGATTGCCAGGGTGTGGGAATTGGTGCCATCTGGTAGGGTGTGGGAGGGCGTCCCCTACATTGATTCAACTGAGAAAAGGAAAGAAGACAGGGCAGTCAGGCACACCCCAGGCGGCATCACCTCTCTGAGGTGGCCGCTTTCCCTCTTGGTCACCCCTTTTCCTAGGAGTCCTTTGTCCTCCCCTCCACACCCTTTCGTTGGAGATGACACTTGAGCCACTTTTGCGTTTGGACTTGGGCCCGCCTATTCTCACCTTTATGATGAAGGAGCGTCGCTGAGGGACTGTATCAGGAAGAGGATGCTGGGTCCCCAACACAAGTGTTAGAATTCTAACCAAGGCTGCCCTGTGGACTGGAGATTATTGGGCCTGGTAGAAAGTGGCATGTGACCGCATGTGGCGAGACCCTCGAGGAAAGTATCCATTTGTGTTCAGGTCCTCACTGCTGAGTGTAAGGGAAAAATGGACCGTGGCCTCCTCCTGTTCCCTGAGGCTACCCATCCTGCTCTAGGAAAGCTTATTTTACCTCTAAGGGCTTTTTTTTTTTTCAAGCCTTGATGACCCTTGCATCAAAAAACTTCTGCTCTACTAACAAGTAACTTACTTTTGCAGAGACTTGGGTAGAGAGAAGATAAAATTTTATTTGCAGAATACAAGTGTCGCATCTCTTGCACACCCAAAATTGTGAAAGAAAATGAGTGTCAGTGTATGGCCGTGATACAGGAATTCTTTATTTGATCAAAGCACGAGTATATTTGGTGTGAAATTGGTCTGATTATCTCTAAGTTCAGTCCCCTAAAAGGCAAGTTCATTCATTTAGGATTTGCAGCACAAATGGGAATCTGAGAACTTCTGGATGGGATGGGTGCCTGGGGGTCTCTTACTCTGCTCTCCCACACCCAGGAAGAAGTGAGATTCTCAGACTTTACTACGAAGAAGAATCACCTGAGCATTTGAAATGCCCATCTTCAGGTCTAACACTGACTCAGCAGGTCAAGGTGGGGCCCAGGAACTTGCGCTTTTGATGACTGACATGATTCTGACACAGGTGGCCAATCTCTGCCTCCTTTCAGAGTATGTGGATCCAGTACCACCCAATTTGAAGATATTACCAGGCAGGACCTGTGGTCAGTGCTTATATATATATATATATATATATGTGTGTGTGTGTGTGTGTGTGTGTGTGTGTGTGTGTGTGTGTGTGTGTGTTTGACCAAAACCTCACTGCATTTAATAATGACACTCACTTTGGAAGGCTGGAGGACCGACCTGTGACAATGCTACAAAATACGAGGAATACTTACAGTGATTTGCTCTTTCAAATTCTCATTCAGGGAAAGTGAATAGTTTTTAACCACAGTAAAGGATAGCTGATAATGAATTAGTACAACTATGTAAAAATATCTACCTCTGTGTGTGTACATTATTTTCCTTTCCACTCTGGTTCGAGAGGACTCTAATTCCACTAATTTCCTTCCTTGAGCTTCCGAGTCTCTTCTGAGACTTAACAATTGTAATGTGTTTTTTGCTTCCTGTTTGGCAGTGCCTTATCATGAAGCTTCCTCTTTCTGTTTTTAGGTTTTAAGACTAGCTAATGGGAATATCTTCAAGATGAGCCAACTCTGATGAATTTCCAGGGCGG